AGCTCAGGGATGCGTCTGGATCGGAAGACAACAGGCATTGGCGCTGTGGTGTAGCAGGTAAAGCCGCCGTCTGCAGCACCGACATCCCAATATGGGTGCCAGTTCAAGTCCCGGCTGCTCCTCTTCCAATCCAGCTCTCTGCTATGGACTGGGAAAGCAGTAGAAGAGGGCACAAGTCCTTGGGTCCCTGCACCCACGTGGGAGACCTGGAAGAAACTTCTGGCTTTGGATCAATGCAGCTCTGGCCTTTGCGGCCATCTGGGGAGTGAGCCCGCGGATGGAAGACCTCTCCCCCGACCCCCCTCTCTCTGCCTCTCTGTAACTCTGCCTTTCGAATAAATAAAAAAAAATTTTTTTTTAAAAAAAGAAGACAACAGAGTTTATGGCTGTGCTGTCCTTTAAATCTTGCTCCAATGTCAACTTCTTGGTGGTTAATATTTAATCACGATCTACCACTAGGCTATTAAAATTGCATTTTCCACAGGACTTTGTGAATTCCATGCCTTTCGAAGGCTGTGAAGCACTCGGAAGACCGGGGACCTCTGGAGCGTTTCTGGATGCCGGGCACACGCTGGTCATGCCAGCACTTGCAGGGAGACCTCACGCAAACCTGCCTGCCTGCAGACTTCTCCCGGGCCCCCTTCTGAGGCAGCACAGCCAGCCGAACGCAGCTGACTCCAGACAGGACGGGGACCCTCACGGAAGCCTGCAGAACCTGACTACAAGTGAACCCGAAGGGGCGGCCGGGCTAACCGCTGCCCGGGACACCAGCACCCACGCTGCGGCGCCAGGCCCAGCCCTCGCCGCCCTGCCCGGGACGCCAGCACCCACGCTGCGGCGCCAGGCCCAGCCCTCGCCGCCCTGCCCGGGACGCCAGCACCCACGCTGCGGCGCCAGGCCCAGTCCTGGCTGCTCTGCTTCCAGTCCAGCGTCCTGCTAGTGTGCCTGGGAGCGCATCAGATGGTGGCCCAAGTGGTGGGGTCTCTGCCAGGCAAGTGGGAGGCCCAGATGGAGCTCCTGGCTCCCAGCTCCAGGCTGGCCCAGCCCTGGCTGCTGCGGCCACTTGGGACGGAAGATCTGTGTCTCTGTCTTTCCCTCTCTACAGCTCTGCATCTCAGATAAGTTATTTGTGCAGTTACCAACATGTCGCTCCAGTGCTGGCAAGAGCAGGCCACCTAATTTCACCACTCGCCGGCAGCCTACCGCTTGGCTTTTGGTTTAAGGCACCACAAGAAGACAGAGTCAGCTTCTGGAACACCAAAACCTTCGCCCTCACTAAAACTTCCGTACAAACACTGCTGTACAGCTCTGACCGTGCCGCTCGGCCGGGCCTGCGGCTGAGCCGAAACTCTGGGGAACTGCGCTGAGCGAACCAGAAAACAAAATGTTTATCATCAGGAGAACGAGGGCAGGGTACAGGGAAGTATTTGTCTGGTTGTCACGGCAACAGAACAAACCATCCCAGCAACATCCCTCCTCTCCCATCTGTCAGCTGACGGCCCGCGAGGGCCTTCAGAGACGCTCAGTGTCCAGCCCAGAGAAGAAACGGGACAGAAATGTTGTTCTAAATCCGACCGATTTTTGCCTCCACTGAAGACCCTGTTAGAGCTCTGAAGTGGGCAGACCACGCGCAGCTTGAGTCAGTGCACGTTGCTGGCGGGGACAGTGCTGGGAGGCGCTGCAGACCCGGATGTCACAGGCCACGTCCCGTTCTCACGCTCTGAGTGCGGCCTCGCAGTGAGAGCTCGTGCAGGTGGGGGCGGGGAGGGGGGGCAGTGCCAGCTGAACGTTTCAACCGCACAGAATTTTCTAGGTTGGGCACTTCCCAACCTCGAGGCGGTGGCAAGCCCTCCACCTGGCCACAGGGTCAGAGGACCCCGTGCTGCGAGGGACGCGGGGGTTGCCCAGTCGTGCGGCCTCACTCGGGCCCTGAGGAACAAGGCAGAGACTTCCCGGCGCTGACTGGGACCTCACTGCCAAAGGACCTGCTTTTAGGACCTTTGTGGACGGACGGGGCCCCAGACTCTGGCTGGCTCCCAGGCGGTCCGCTCAGGAGCCGGGCGGCCTGTGATCTGCTTCCCTGAGCACCAAGGCAGAACTGCGCTGTGCCGGGCATCCGCCAGGCTCCTGCAGGACAGCGCACTGCCCTTGGGGGAAGCCGGACAAGAGGGTAATGGCTGCTCCGGGGCACAGCGGGTTAAGCCACCACCTGCAGAGCCAGCACACTTCTTTTTTAAGATTTATTTTTCTACTTATTTGAAAGGCAGAGTTACAGAGAGGAAGACAGAGAAAGAGAAAGAAGAGAGAGAGAAAGAGAGAGGGGGTAGAGGGAAAAGGAGAGGGAGGGAGGGAGCAAGGGGGAGAGAGAGAGAGAGAGAGAGAGAGAGAGAGAGAGACACCTTCCACCTGCTGGTTTACTCCCCAAATGGCTGCAACAAGTGGGGCTGGGCCAGACCCAATCTAGGAGCCTAGAGCGTTATCCAGGTCTCCTGCATGGGTGCAGGAGCCCAGGGACTTGGGCCATCTTTCACCGCTTTCCCAGGCACATTAGCAGGGAGCTGGGTCAGATGTGGAGCAGCTGGGTCTTGAACCGGTACCTCTATGGGATGGCAGTGTCATAGGTGGAAGTTTAACCTGCTATGGCACAACGCCAGTCCCTGCTCCACTTCTGATCCAGCTCCCTGCTAATGTGCCTGGGAAAGCAGTGGATGATGGCCCGAGTCCCTGGGCCCCTGCACCCATGTGGGAGACCCAGAAGAAGCTCCTGGGTTCAGCCTGGTCTTTACAGCCACTAGTGGTATCAACTAACGGATAGAAGGTCTATGTCTGTATCTCTGTCCTTCTCTCCTTCCCTCCCTCCCTCTAACTCTGCCTTTCAAATGAAGAGAGAGAGAGAGAGAGAGAGAGAGAGAGAGAGAGAGAGAAGGGGGGGTAAAGAAAGAGAGAGAGAAAAGCCAGACTTGGCTGCAGAGGGTCAGAGCTGCGAGTGGACCAAGTGCAGCTGAGCCCGGGTCCCGTGATGCCCAGCAGATCGGGACGCACAGGACTCCTCCTGCTCTGGCAGAACCCCCGTGTGATGAGAGGGGCACATGTGTGCCCAAACAATGCAATCAAGGCGCTCTGCACACAGGCACGGCTCCCCACACCCTTGCCGTCTCAGTAGCCAGCCACCAGCTGGCCACTGCTGCAAAACGGGTGATGGGCCCATGGTGCGGGGGGGGGACGCTGGGGGCTACACTGGTGGCTGACCCCTGCGCAGACTGAATCTCCACAGGCAGAGGACGGAGAGTCCACCCCACTGCCGGGCAGTCCACGTGGGCTGCCCATCTACTCCACAGAGCCACCCCGTGTCGGGGACTCACTGAGGCCCAGCTGCTCCCCACAGGGGTCACGCCTGCCCCGCAGCGCAGAGGCTCCACAGGAGCTGAGCCAGCGTCCGAACTGCCAACCCCGAGATCCGGGGCGAGGCGGTCTGCGGGGGAGGGGAAAGGGCGAGGCGGTCCTGTGCCCCCCCCAGCCGCCTCTGCAGCCTGCGTTCCCAGGTGTCCTCTGGCCCGAGCCTGCGGTCGCCTCCCTGCGTGAGGGACGCTGTCTTTGACGAGGCCACACTCCCCCTCTCCATTCCTACCTTGGCTTTTGCTGTACTTTGCCCAAAACGCCAGATGAGACTCAGCCCTCCTCCGCCCTGGAGGCGGCCTGGGATGGGGTGGCGCTGGCCCCTCCTCGCCAGCCGCACCCATCTTCCCAGGCTGTCAGGCTGGGTGCTCCCCGAGTCCCACATCTTCACCCCAAAAGCAGGCTCTCCAGGGGGCTGTCTGTCCCCCAGCTGCACTCTGGCTGGCACTGGCACAGTCTGGCTGCCACCTCCTCCCAAGTCCAGCGCTCGCCCCTCCCCCGAGTGCAAGCCGGGAAGCAGGGGCCGCGTGGGCTTGGCACTGCTTTAGTGCCGATGAAACCCGATGCTGCTGGCTGAAGGGCTGTCACTCACTCACCCTCAGCCTACCCAGCGCCCTGCACCAGCTGCGTGCTCACCCACAGGCCCCCTTCCTGAGTGGACACAAGCCCAGGGGAAGTGCAGTAGGCACTGAACACACGGCAGGGGCAGGCGGGGGACAGCCACATGGCCACTGTCCACAGAGGTGAGCAGATGGGCTGTGGCCAAAGGGAGGGCCGGCCACAGCGCCCACCACACCCCCCCCAGGGATTCCACGTGGACACATTCCACCCTCCCCCACCCCACTTCCTCCCCCCTCTCCTCCTATCCACGGTTCGGGATCTACTTCCTCTGCAGACCACACTGCTTGGGCGTCTCCGGTTTTGGCACTTCTTTGTGCCAGATGGACTCCGCAGGTGGCCTGCTCTGCCTCTGCCGGCCGGCCGGCCCCAGGCCTCGCACATCCTCTCACACCACTCACACATCTGGGCCCCGGGTTCCAAAGCAGGGCGGCTCCGAGTCAGTATTTTAAAATGATGACAATGCAGGGGATTTTTCACTTTTTTGAAAAGCTCAGAATTTACCCAAATTCCTACTGGAGTCTCTTTCGGGAGCTCTTCTGGTCTCTGACCGGCCTTTGCAAGATCACTGAACGGGACCCCTGGGACGTGGGTGGCATCCTACCGGGCACTGGGTACAGGAATATGGTACGTGCGGTTTATTTTGGTCACGAGGGGGAGGTGGATGCCTCGGGGCCATCAGCCCTCCTGGGCTGGCCCTGTCCCCAGGGCCCCTCTCGGCTCCTGCGGTGGCTGCTCCGCCTCCCGCCTGCTCTCAGTCCCGGCGCTCGCTCAGGAGTGAGTGTCCTCCCTGGGTGTGCAGAACCTGCTGCCCCCAACACCATGGCGCCTCTCTGCCCCTGCGGCAGCACGTGCAAAGCAGGCCGAGCGCTCCGCAGGGAAGGCCCGTGTGGTCGCCTTGCAGACCCCAGCCTGAGTTCCCCACGCATCCTCCCAGGCCCTCCACCGTCACCCCCGGCCTCCAGGCGGGGCAGCCGGGCTGGTACCTGAGCTTGTCGGCAATGAAGATGACCCTCCTCTCCAGGAGCAGCGAGGCGAACACACAGAGCAGGTGGCGGACGCTCAGAGACGAGAACAGAGACTGGAAATCCACGTGTTCCAGCCGGGAGTCCAGCGGGCGGCACAGCTCGATCACCTGCTGGGCGACGGGGCAGCCACGAGGTGGGAGGGGGCAAGACCCGCCGGGACTGGCGAAGGGATCCCAGGAGGCTGGGGCGGGGGGCGCCTCCCCACGGAGGGGAGGAGCCGGCAGGGCAGGGGCAGTGCTGTGGGCTCACAGCGGTCAGGAGGCTCTCTGGGGCCTGGGTGTATCTGGGCTCCCCTCTCCGCCTCAGGGCATTCCACGAGGATCGCAGGGATGGGGACTTTCCCCTGCCAAGGCCAGCTGGTTTATTTCTAACACCATCTGTGTGCCATACAAATTACCAACTTAAACTAGCCCGCTGGGGCTGGCACTGTGGCACAGTGAGTAAGGCCGCTGCTCGTGGTGCCGGCGTTCCATATGGGTGCTGGTTCCAGTCCCAGCTGCTTCTCTTCCAACCCAGCTCCCTGCTAACACGCCAGGGAAAGCAGTGGAGGATGGCCCAAGTCCTTGGGCCCCTGCCACCCACTTGGGAGACCCGGAAGAAGCTCCTGGCTCCTGGCTTCTGATCAGCCCAGCTCTGGCCATTGTGGCCATTTGGGGAGTGAACCAGCGGATGGGTACCTATTTCTCTGTCTCTCCCTCTCTCTGTAACTCTGCCTTTCAAATAAATAGATGAATCTTAAACAAAAAAGTTAGCCTGCTGTGGATCTTTTGAACTTTGAGTCGGCCTACCCGAGGCTGCCTTGGCAGGGCAGACCAAATGATTCTGCAGGCCTTATGGGGCCGGGGGGCAGGGGTCCTGGACATTCCTCCCCCGGCGGGAGGGACGCAAGGCTCTGACGGAGCACCACTCCCAAGACCCAGTCTCGCCAGAAGGCGTCTCTTACTGCTCCGGACCGCGTTCCCATCACTTCCTGAAGACGTCCTTAGCGTCTCCCTCTCCTCATTTCACACCAAAGTGTTCCCCAGTTCATCTCAGGTGCTGCCGCTGAGCACGTCTCTCTTTAAACAGGTGAGCAGATGAGACCTGATTCTGCACTGCACCTGCCCAGGGCCCCGCCCCGCCTCCCCCCAGCAGGGCCCACTCCGATCCGCGATCCGCGCTGCCCCTTCTCCGTGGCCATGCGACCTGCAGCTGGTGTGGAGCAGTTTCGGGTTCTCCAGCAACAACTGCTCTCTGTGCTGTGACACTGGGTGGTTCCAGGAAGCCCCGGGCCCACCCTCCCCCTCCTCAGCCTACAGAGGTGACCTGACTTTCTGAGCCCTTTGGAACTAGGCTCGAGGCTGACTGGGATCTACATGGAGGGCGTGCAGGGAACAGGGAGGATGAACCACAGTCCAGGAAGGAGGGCAGGCTTCCAAGTCTAGCGTGAAACATCGTATCTGCCCTGCCATCCCAGCAAGGGATGTTTTAGATCATAAAGTTGTAGCGATGATGCAGACCCCACACGCAAATGGGTCCGATTTATGCACAGTAGCTGTTCATAAACGCTAAGGACACGATGGGGTAAGCCTCCTGCATCCCACATCAGAGTGCGGTTCCACCCCGGCTGCTCCACTTCCAAGCCAGCTCCCTGCTAACACGCCTGGGAAGGCAGCGGGAGACGGCTCAATTCCCTGGGCCCTTGCACCCACGTGGGAGACCCAGATGGAGCTCCTGGCTGCTGGCTCCACCCTGGTCCAGCCCGGCTGTGGCAGCCATTTCGGGAGTGAGCCAGCTCTCTGTATCTCCCTCTGCCACTCCCTCTGCCTTTCAGGTAAATAAATAAATCTTAAAAAAAGAAACAAACAAAAACCCAAACCGGAAAAACTAACGGTGTTCAGGGCAAGTCCCTGCCTCTCAGGGCCAACAGCAGGCTAAGGGCTGCCACGTGTGTGGCCTGGTACTCGAGGGCTGCTTTCCGGGCAGAACCCCTGGCCCGACGGGTCCCGCTGAGGGTGGGGCTTGTGAGCGGTGATCTGGGGCTGGAGGGCACCCTGCTGAGTGTGATGTCCCACCGAAAGCCAGCCTCCCCCCACCCCGGGCTGGCTGGTCAGGGAGGGAACCAGTGCTGACCTCGGTCCCTGAGCCGGGCAGGAAGTTCTTCACGACGACGGTCTTGCCCAGGGCTGGGAAGGGGGCTTCCATGACGCTCCTCATGAGGGGCTGCACCAGGGCCGGGGAGATGCCGCGTCTCTTCTCCACCTCGTCCAGGATCTGCGAGGTCAGAGAAGAGCTCAGCTACGGAGAAGGGGGGGCACTGCGGGCCACCCTGCCTGCCAGGCGCAAAGCCTCAGCTCTCCTCCCACCCGTGCCCCACCCCCATTCTGCAGGGGAGCGACCCCAAGGGTACCAAAACTGGTTCCTGGGGGGAGGTGTGTGAAAACAGTGACATTGTAACAGTTTGCATCTCTCTAAGGGGCATGATACATAAACAGACAAGACGGCTTCTCTGGGGGCCAGCCTGCGGGAAATGCAGGTGACAGCCATGAGGGCCCCCATTCAGGCCTCTGAGGACGGCGGTAAGAAAACGGTAAGAGCAGGCATTGGCAAGGACGCGGAGAAACTGGATCTCTTGGTCGCTGCTGGCAGGAATGGAAAACAGTGAAGCCACCTTGGAAAATAGCCCGGCGGGTCCTCAGAAGGCTAGACATCGAGGTACCGCGTGGCCCAGCACACGGCACGCCCAGTACGGGCCCGCGTGGAAGGAAAACAGACGACTGCAGGCAGCAGCCAGAGAGCAGGCACAGCCCAGGCGTCCACGGACCGAGCCAGAGAGCAGGCACAGCCCAGGCGCCCACGGACTGAGCCAGAGAGCAGGCACAGCCCAGGCGCCCACGGACTGAGCCAGAGAGCAGGCACAGCCCAGGCGTCCACGGACTGAGCCAGAGAGCAGGCACAGCCCAGGCGCCCACGGACTGAGCCAGAGAGCAGGCACAGCCCAGGCGTCCACGGACTGAGCCAGAGAGCAGGCACAGCCCAGGCGCCCACGGACTGAGCCAGAGAGCAGGCACAGCCCAGGCGTCCACGGACCGAGCCAGAGAGCAGGCACAGCCCAGGCGTCCACGGACCGAGCCAGAGAGCAGGCACAGCCCAGGCGTCCACGGACCGAGCCAGAGAGCAGGCACAGCCCAGGCGCCCACGGACCGAGCCAGAGAGCAGGCACAGCCCAGGCGCCCACGGACTGAGCCAGAGAGCAGGCACAGCCCAGGCGCCCACGGACTGAGCCAGAGAGCAGGCACAGCCCAGGCGCCCACGGACTGACGGCAGGAGAAACCAGACGTGCCTCAGCCGCACAGGGGGACCCGACGCGGTCACAGAAAGGGACAGGGCACCAGCACACGCCACACCCCGGGTGAGCTTGGAAACACACGGCGCCGAGGGACGGGCCGGACGCACAAGGCCACACACTCTGACTCCGTGTAGACGAGACAGCCGGGAAAGGTAAGTCCACGGCATAGAGTAGACCGGAAGTGGGCTCAGGTCTGGTTCCTCACCGGGGTGAGGAAGACGCTGAGGCCGTGGAGGTGGCTGTCAGCTCTGTGGGTGCACCAAAGCCACAGGAGCCTCAGCTCTCCACGAGGGGCTGCACAGGTGGGCCACAGCTCAGGGAAGCTGTCACTCAAAATCCAAATGCATCTTCCATCCAGCTGTCCATCACGGTCCAGATAACAGCACTGTTTGTAGCAGCGCCACATGTGGCTACTGCGCCCTCAACGTACGGGTAGTCTGAATGGGATTTGTCCTACATATATTCACTGAATTTCAAAATACAAAATTAAGGAGGCAAAATATCTCAACAACGTTCATATTAATTACATACTGAAGTAACAATATTCTGAATGGACTGGGCTAAATAAAATTCATTAAAATTCAAAAGGCCATATGAGCGTGCCTCAAAAAATTCACTGCAGTTACCCTTGACCCAGCAGCTCCAGTTCTGGGGACACGCCCGAAAGAACTACGCGCGGGCTTGAATCGACACGTCTGTCCCTGCAACTGACGCGCGGGCTTGAACCGACGCGTCTGTACCTGCACCCAGGCTCACGTAAACGAGAGGTGCGGACAGTCCGGATGTCCATCAGGGTGAGAGGGCAGACACACACACGTGCCATACACACACGGCGGAACGCTGCTCACCCTGACAACAGATTCTGACACACGCTGCGACACGGGTGAGCCCTGGGGACACGAGCCAGACACAGAAGTGACTGCACTTAGGTGGCGCGGCGCCGGCCAGCGGGGAGGGGAGAGGAGGGGGGGAGCGTGACTGTGGAGAGGTGCAGTCCCCGTGTGGGGGACGAGAACGTTTCGCGGCATCACAGTGTGAACGCATTAATGCCACTGAGCTGTCAGAAGGCACGTTCTGTTACGTACTCTTTAGCACGGGCAAATAATGTGACACAAAATTAAGACTCTTGGGGCAAGAATTAGGGAAACATGTCTAAAAATGACAGTCGGGGAAGCAGTACTGCAGAACAGATCACGGAGCGCCGGGCTGGTGGGAGGCACAGGTGCCGGCTCGCCAGCTCCAGGTCCAGGCCGCGGCGGCCTGCCTTTCCTGCTCTAACTCCCTCGTGCCTCCGCCGGCAGCAGGAGGTGAGCAAGCGCGCGCCACCTCACTGTCTGAGGAAGACAGACACGGGCACCAGAGCCCAGCCCAGACCTGCAGCCTAGCGCAGAGACCAGCCAGCCAGCCAAGCCCAGCCTGCTCGCGACCCCCGGGGAGCCCGGCGGAGCAGCCGCAGCTGGCCTGCACATCTGGGAGGACAGACAGTGGCCACGCAGCACGGCCGGAGCAGCAGCTACCCTGCTGCCCTCCCTCCAGGGACTCACAGAGCTGCTCTGTGCCTCTGAAGGACAACGTGCCATCTCGGCCATACTCGTGCCACACCCGAAACAGCTCCAGGGCTGGTATCAATAGCCCGAGATGTTGCTGCCACCCTAGCACACGCCTGCAACATCCCTGATCAGAAACAGACATGAGAGCGCCGGACTCGCCGTCACCCAGGTACGTGAGCAGGTCCCTGGGGCCTCGGAATGAAGTTTCCGTAAACTCCGAAGCCTCCCCTGGGAGCCGGACTCCTTCCCAGGCGCCGTCTCACTTCTCACTCTCAGAAGCACTCTCGCCCTGCCCCCGACTTCACGTTTGAGCAAACCCATGAGGAAGACTGGCCCGAGCAGTAACGTAAACCATGCTACAGCCTGAACGTGAACCGATCTGCACCCCAGGCGCAGTGGGGGTGAGACCCCGTCTCAGGTGACACTGACTGCATGAGTTCTTCCAACAGACCGGCAGGAAGGACCAAGGTCAGGACAACGAGGCTGAGGCCGGCTCTGAGGTCAGGGGAGGGCAGGCTGAGGGATGCTGAACAGCCGTAGACAGCATACACAGGGATTTTCATTCTCCAACAGAAAGCCCAGACGGAAACAGATAGCCAAGAAGGATTTAAAGTGAATGCATGGGGGCTAGTGCTGTGGCATAGCGGGGAAAGCCACCACCTGCAGTGCCGGCATCCCATATGGGTGCTGGTTCGAGACCCGGCTGCTCCACTTCTGATCCAGCTCTCTGCTATGGCCTGGGAAAGCAGCGGAAGATGGCCCAAGTCCTTGGGCTCCTGCACCCACAAGGGAGACCCAGAAGAAGCTCCTGGCTCCTGGCTTCGGATCAGCGCAGCTCCAGCTGTTGCAGCCAACTGAGGAGTGAACCAGCAGATGGGAGACCTCTCTCTCTCTCTGCCTCCCCTTCTCTGTGTAGTTCTTTCGAATAAATAATTTTTTAAATAAATATTAAAAAAATAAAGTAAGTCTATGGACTAGGGGCTCATGTTGGACTGACACAGGACATGCATGTGGGAGGAGGCCCTCTGTTGCGACTGGCATCACACAGGGTAGGAATTCTCTATGTCCCCTAACCCCCAATCAGGATGTGTAGATAAAATATGGCCACAAACAGAGACAAAGAAAGAAGAGTGGACCCCTCCTCCCCAGTCACACATCTGTCCTAATAAATCTGCCGCTGGTATCTCTTCTACAAACACACCAGGCCCACCGACCACTGGAAGTGTGTGTGGTCCTGGGTCACGCAGGCTGCAGTTTACGCCCACCGATGCTGTACCAGCTACGGTGTGGTGCCGATGAACCTACAAACATTGTAAGAAACCTGGCATTGCCGCTCAGTCTCGGGAAATGATTCCAGCTGAGCCCGCAGGCGTAATAAACTGCTGATCCTCCACTGTCTCTGTGCCTGTTTGATGGAAGGAGTTTTCCCACCCCAGGTTTCGGTAACAGATGGGCCAGTTCAACACAATTCTCATGTCTTGATATAATGGCTCATTTTCAGGAAAAGAATAAGAAATTACATTAATATTTCAATAAATGTAGAGTACCAATACATAATGATTCTTACGTACAGGTAACTCAAATACACAGAGCCAGGGGTCTTCAGGAAGTTCATGGAGGGGACGTCTGGCCTCTGAGGACGCCTGCATCCCACACTGCAGGGCCTGGGTTCCACCCCAGCTCACTCCCTGCCTCCAGCCTCCCGCGAGTGCAGACCCAGCAGGCAACGCAGAGGGCCCCAGCACCTGCTGTCCTGTCTCCCAGAGCAGGGGTGGGTGTGGGTGAGGGCCCCAGCACCTGCTGTCCTGTCTCCCAGAGCAGGGGTGGGTGTGGGTGAGGGCCCCAGCACCTGCTGTCCTGTCTCCCAGAGCAGGGGTGGGTGTGGGGGAGGGCCCCAGCAGCTGCTGTCCCGTCTCCCAGAGCAGGGGTGGGTGTGGGTGAGGGCCCCAGCACCTGCTGTCCTGTCTCCCAGAGCAGGGGTGGGTGTGGGTGAGGACCCCAGCACCTGCTCTCCCGTCTCCCAGAGCAGGGGTGGGTGTGGGGGAGGGCCCCAGCAGCTGCTGTCCCGTCTCCCAGAGCAGGGGTGGGTGTGGGGGAGGGCCCCAGCAGCTGCTGTCCCGTCTCCCAGAGCAGGGGTGGGTGTGGGTGAGGGCCCCAGCAGCTGCTGTCCTGTCTCCCAGAGCAGGGGTGGGTGTGGGTGAGGGCCCCAGCAGCTGCTGTCCTGTCTCCCAGAGCAGGGGTGGGTGTGGGGGAGGGCCCCAGCAGCTGCTGTCCTGTCTCCCAGAGCAGGGGTGGGTGTGGGGGAGGGCCCCAGCAGCTGCTGTCCCGTCTCCCAGAGCAGGGGTGGGTGTGGGTGAGGGCCCCAGCACCTGCTCTCCCGTCTCCCAGAGCAGGGGTGGGTGTGGGTGAGGGCCCCAGCAGCTGCTCTCCTGTCTCCCAGAGCAGGGGTGGGCACGGTGGAGACACCTGAGTTCCCGGTTCCCAGCTCCAGCTGCTCTGGGCATTGTGGTAAGGAAACTGGTGGATGGGAGCTCTCTCTCGCTGACTCTCAAGTACATAAAAGTAATTTTTTCAAAGGTCATAGAAAATACAGATCATGAAAAGTGCATGGATTTAAAAATTTTTTGCAATAAAAATATCTTAAAATACTCCTAAGGCAGAGTGAGGGAGGTGGGTGGGGGAGAGATCTTCCATCTACTGGCTCACTTCCAATATGCTCACAATAGCAAGGCTGGGCTGGGCGGGAGCTAGGAGCCAGGAATCCCACTCGGACCTCAGGTGGGTGGCAGGAAGCCAGGAGCCAGGAATCCCACTCGGGTCCCACGGGGGTGGCAGGAAGCCAGGAGCCAGGAATCCCACTCGGGTCCCACGGGGGAGGCAGGAAGCCAGGAGCCAGGAATCCACTCAGATCCCACAGGGGTGGCAGGAAACCAGGAGCCAGGAATCCCACTCGTGTCCCACGTGGGTGGCAGGAAGCCAGGAGTCAGGAATCCCACTCGGGTCCCACGGGGGAGGCAGGAAGCCGAGCACCTGAGCTGTTACCTGCAGCCTCCGAAGCCGCACTCCAGCAGGAAGCTGGCTGGGAAGCAGAGCTCGGAGCTCAGGACGTGAGCATCCCAGGCGGTGTCTGAACCACCCGGCCATGCATGCAGCCCTAAACTTACCTTTTAATTTCATTTTCCCATGAACTGCTTGAAGTACCCTGGTTCACCCCTCCCCTCTCCTCCCCTCCCCCTGCCTCCTGGAGCCCCGACTCTCCCCCACCCCCGCCCCAGCAAAGGCTAGTATGACAGAAGACAATGCGTTGAAGATGGAGAGTGAAACACCTGGAATATTCTCAGAGGACCCTTTACAACTCCCCCCTCCCCCCCACACCATTGCCAACTAAGTTGCCTCCTCCCCTCCCCAACTCCCTGGGCCTGGCCCTCCCCAACCCTTATTTCCTGAGCCAATCAGAACAGAGGAGAGCAGAAGAAATGGTTAGGAAAACAGGAAGTACTGGGGGGTGTCGCCTGGGTCTCCTGGACCCCGCCTCCCCTGCCTCCCCTTCCCTCCCCTGCCCTCCCCTGCCCTCCCCTGCCCTCCCCCTCACCTTAGAGAAGAGGCTGAAGCACCCCAGGCGGCTCACGATGCAGTAGACCTCGGGCAGACGCTTCCCTTTGCCTCCAGGCTTTGGGAGGAAAACACAGGAATCAGGAGTGTGGACATCTCAGGGAAGAACGGAAGCCACATGTTTTCTGCTATCAAGTGGGAGAGGCCTCTATTTCACAGTTCTCCCGGATCTTTTAAGAAAACGCACAGATAGGAGAGCGCACAAATCACTTTTTCACAAAGCGGCCCCTGGAAGAAGAAACACACCAGCACCAGGAGCCCAGGGCCCCGCTAGCCTGAGACCTTTCGGGGTCCCCGTGACCCTGCCCCAGATGGACCTGCGAGCCACGCCGCTGAAATCCCGCGCGAGGTGCGCCTCTGTGCCGGGCTCCCAGCACTCAGCATCCGCGAGCTCCACGGCGACAGGCGACGCTGCTGGTTGCCCACACACCATGCCACAGCACCCCGCGGTGCGGTGCCGACACCATTACCGTGGTAAAGTACGCATCAAGAAGGCTTTTGGGCTTGGGCTCATTGTTGACCCCAGTATTTTTGAGGCTACTGTGGCCACAAGTTTCAGGACGCCAGAGTGGCTTTCGAAAGTCCAGGAAGAAAGCAACTGTCACCTCCCACCCCGCAGCGGGAAAGTGCTTCCGGTCATGAGCTTTTAGTACCTCTGAGGGCTCAAATAAAGATCGCCGCGCACATAGTGGGTCAACGCCGTCAGGGAAGGAGCCCGGCTTGCTTACTCGAATCACCGCAGCTCTCCCGAGCACTCACTCGGGCTACACGTGCTCATCACAGCGAAAATTCTGGAGAAGCCGCTTCTGAAGAGCTTCCAAGCTAACCTTTTTTCTTTTTTTTAAAGGTTTATTTATTTATTTAAGAGACAGAGTTACAGAGACAGGGAGAGACAGAGAGAAAGGTCTTCCATCTGCTGGTTCACTCCCCAAATGGCAGCAATGGCTACAGCCGGGCCAATCCAAGGCCAGGAGCCAGGAGCTTCCTCTGGGTCTCCCACGTGGGTGCAGGGGCCCAAGCACTTGAGCCACCCTCTGCTGCTCTCCCAAGTGCACCAGCAGGGAGCTGGATCAGAGGTGGAGCAGCTGGGACTTGAATCGGTATCCGTGTGGGATGCTGCTGCTGCAGGCGGAGGCTTAACCTACCACATACACCTCAGCACTGGCCTCCTAAGCTCACCTTTTTTTCTAAAAATTTTTTCTAATTTTCTTATTTATTTATTTATTTTTTGACAGGCAGAGTGGACAGTGAGAGAGAGAGACAGAGAGAGAGAGAGAGAGAGAAAGGAGGTCTTCCTTTGCCGTTGGTTCACCCTCCAATGGCCGCCACGGCCGGCGCGCTGCAGCTGGCGCACCGCGCTGATCCGATGGCAGGAGCCAGGTGCTTCTCCTGGTCTCCCATGGGGTGCAGGGCCCAAGCCCTTGGGCCATCCTCCACTGCACTCCTGGGCCAAAGCAGAGAGCTGGCCTGGAAGAGGAGCAACCGGGACAGAATCCGGCGCCCCGACCGGGACTAGAACCCGGTGTGCTGGCGCCGCTAGGCGGAGGATTAGCCTAGTGAGCTGCGGCGCCGGCCTCTAATTTTCAAACTGAAAGGAAAATCAATTTTAATACTTTAATTTGATCAATGAAATTATCCTGCTTAACTTTTTCAGTCATTCAATAATTACACTGTTTATTCGCTAATTAAGAACTTTTTATTGAACTCTTACTATGCGCCGCATGGTAAAGTGGACTCGAAATTTTTTAAGCCTGTCCCCCCCAACCCCAGCCTATTTCAAAGACCGAAATACACCTGCAGTGCAAACAGTCATGAAGATTTTTCTAAGGCACGGGCCCAGGGCTGGCTTGAGCTCAGCGGTTCCTGAGGAAGGAACGGGCCTCAGAAAGCTCGTTCTGAGATGTCTGGGCACGAGCTCCTCCCTGGAGTGCTGACTTGTACAGGTGACCGCTCCAGTCCCCTCTCGTCGGCACCTGCTCTCAAGGCTCCCTCTAAGCGACCAGGGTCCATCTGGGCTAAGGAGACAGGTGGAAGAGTGATTCTCACCTGCCCGGGAGGCTCTCGTGGGCACCCCAATCTTTCTCCGTGGTTTTCACCAGCCGGGGTCACCTGCCACATCTCCTGCTCCCTCCCGCGTGCCCCGTGAGGCCCGAGTGAGGGGGAGCCGCAGGGAACCAGCAGCGGGCGGAGCGCACTCACCAGCAGCCTGCGGCAGTACCCGAACCTTCTGCTCCCATCCTCTCCGGTTAAGACAAAGGAGAACGTTTCACTGTGTGTGGAAACAGACCTGCGTCAGGGTGCAGCAGGCGGCCACGCGGGCAGCCCGCCCCTCTGCGCTGAGACGCCGGCGCCTGCAGATGGCTTCGGGGTGACGGGCAGGGAGCCAGGGCTGACGCCTGCAGGTAGGTTTGGGGTGACGGGGCAGGGAGCAGGGATCTAACACGGCTTAATGTCCAGAGGGGAATGGGTTGGGGGGGGCCTTTTCTGCCCCGAGCCCTCTCCGATGCCATTGCCTGGGCCAGTCCATGGCACACAGCCCAGTGGCCACCCCTGTCTGCGGCCGCGGAGCTGCCTTGGGGAGCTGCAGGGTGAGGCGGCTGTGCTGATCTGGGACGAGGCTCAGCGAGAGCCTCAGAGCGCCTGGACCCCTCTGGGGACAGCCCCTGGTGCAGCTCTGGCTCTTGCAGGAGGCTTAGTGACCGCCGGCCCTCAAACCCCTAGGACTTGTGGCCTACTGCGTCGGGTCAAATGCTGAGGCAGCAGCAACAGCTGGGACCTAGCAAGGTGGCCGACAGCACAGAGCTGCACCAGCCGCACCCCAGGGACGGGTGCCCAGGCCACCCAGGGAGCGTGTGCGGGCCTTGGATAAGGACGGAGACCGGCAGCACTTCCCCAGCTGCCTCAGGTGACAGTCACCTTCTCAGCTCACCAGACAGACAGGCCCCATGCTGGGAGGGCGGGCTGGCCAGTCTCGGGCTGGGTCCCACAGCATGGCTCAAGGGCAGAATGGACTCCTGGGGTTGGCCTCTGATCCTTTTTTAAGGATTAATTTATTTACAGGAAAGTCAGAGTTACAGAGAGGAGAGATTCTTCTTCCACTGCTGGTTCACTCTCCACATGGCCGCAGTGGCCGGGGCTGGCCAGGCTGAAGTCATGAGCCAGGAGCTTCCTCCTGGTCTCCCACGTAGGGGCAGGGACCACTTGGGCCAACTTCCACTGCTTTCCCAGGCACATGGGAGGGCCTGCCTAAACCTGCACCCCCAGCCCAGAGAGAGGGGAGCGTGAGCGCGCACCTGGTGAACTGCTGCACAGGAGCCCAGTCCTTGGCGTCGGGGAAGCAGAACTGGGGGATGGCCTTCAGCTGGTCCTCCGCCTCTCTCATGAACTTGAACGACCTCTCCAGCTGCACAGGGAAGAGTGACAGAGGTTCAGAGTGAAACCCGGCCTGGGAGAGGGAGGCAGGGGATGGCGAGGGGCACGTGGCCCACTTTTCGCAGCTGGGACTGCTCCCCACCCCCACCCCGAGCCCTTCCTGTGCGAGGCTGGCAGCCCGGTGTGCTGGGCCCGCTCCCTCGGGGGCAGCTCTGACCACAGGCAGAGCAGCGGGACTTGAGCCAGCGCTGGTACGGCGTGCTGGCCTTGCAAGCTGCAGTTTACCCTGCGTGCCACAATGCTGGTCCCAACAAAACATGATTCAGAGATTAAAGCCATGAGCATGCCCACTTTGTTTAGGAAAAGGAATCATGCTTTCAAAAACCACCCAGGAACAAAAGAGGAATGATTTATAATTATTTAGCTAATAACATTTGCATTATTTATTTAATTATTATATTTGAGAATTGGAGGCTTTGCTTTTGTTGACAGGTTTGTACTTGTTACATTTCCCTTAAAAATACTTAAAGACAAATTGGCTAAAATTACCATCATTAATTTGAAATATCAGGTATTTCTAAGGTTGGAAATTTCCATCTCTAACCTAATTTTTCTTTGTAATAATTTCCATCAGTTTTTTATCTTGTTTCCAATAGTGGCCAGTAATCTATAGTTAATTAATTTATTTAAAGATTTTATTTATTTGAGAGATAGAGTTACAAAGGAAGAGAGAGAGGTCTTCCATCTGCTGGTTCACTCCCAAATGGCTGCAACAGCCAGAGCTCAGTCAATCTGAGGCCAGAGCCAGGAGCTTCTTCCAGGTCTCCCACATGGGTGCAGGGGCCCACGGCCCATAGTTTATTTAAAGATGGGGGAGAGAAGGGAGATAGAGAGAGAGATACTGATCTTCCATCTCCTGGTTCACTCCCCAAATGACAGCAGCCAGAGCTGGGCCAGGTGGAGTCAGGAGCCAGGAGCTCCACTCTGGTCTCCCACAGGGGTGGCAGGGACCCCAGCACTTGAGCACTGCCCCCCTGCTACATGAGCATGAAGCTGGATGGGGGGTGGGGTAACAGCAAGTCAGGGCAGCTAACCCCCCCAGTGCATAGTCTGTGCTTTAAAGCAGCCAAGGGGCCAGCGCTGTGGCACAGTGGGGTAAAGCCCCAGCCTGCAGCACCGGCTTCCCACACGGGTGGCGTTCAAGTCCCAGCTGCTCCACTTCCAATCCAGCTTCCTGCCGATGGTCTGGGAAAGCAGCAGAAGATGACCTAAGTGCTTGGGCCCCTGCACCTGCATGGGAGACCCGGAAGCAGCTCTGGGCTCCGGCTTCAGATTGGCACAGCTCTGGCCATTGCGGCCATCTGGGGAGTCAATCAGTGGATGGAAGACCTTTCTCTCTCTCTCTCTGTCTCTCTCTGTCTCTACCTTCTCTGAACTCTTTCAAATAAATAAAAAAATCTTTTAAAAAGAACAGCCTCTCAATGGCAGGCATTTGGTGCGGCTGTTAAGCTGCCACATGGGATGCTGCCATCTCATACTGGAACACCTGGGTTCAAGTCCTGGGTCCGTCCTCCACACCAGCTTCCTGCTCACATGCACCCCGAGGGGCAGGGCAGGTGTGAGAGAGCCACACGGAGTTCCTGGCTCAGACCTGGCTGCTGCGGTCATTCGGGGGGTGCGCCAGCTGATGGAAGACCCCTCTCTCTTTCCCTCTCTCCCCTTCTATGTTGATCATTCTTTCAAATAAATAAGTAAATCTTTAAAAAATCCCCAGCGTGAAAAGCAGACGGAAGGAAGCAGCGACACTCCCCACGGGGAAGCCACCCTGAGAGGCACATCTTGCAGGGACTCGAGCGCCAGCACTTTGCAACGAGGCCCCGTCACCACGGGTGACAGCCACCGCAGGTCACACAGCCCAGCTCACCACAGCGATGCGTGAGGACAACTACTGCATAAAAAGATAAATGCACAGGCGTACAAAGTGTGTGCACACACACACGTGCACAGATACAGAAACACGCATGCACACGTACATATGCACAAACACACTCATACACATGTGTGTATACATGCAGAGAACACACATGTATACACGCATGTATATGCAAAGCACACAATATATCTATATACATGCATGTGCATGTGAAATATTTTCGCATACACGTGTGTATATGTATAATGCATACACATACACATGCAAGCATCTATAAACACACATGTGTGTACACAGGTATGATATATACACAGGTACACACATATGTGTATATATTTATAAAATACACAATACCTATACACACATACAGGTACATGTATATGTATAAGATATTTACATATACATAGAGATGGAGAAACACTGGTGGCAAGATGCAGTTCTAACAGAGGAGATGGGTTAAACAGGTTAGGGCATACCCATGTGAAGGGAGCATTATGTAATTTGAAAAATGAGGGGCTGGCGCCGTGGCTCACTTGGCTAATCCTCCAGCTGCGGCGCTGGCATCCCATATGGGCGCCGGGTTCTAGTCCCAGTCGCTCCTCTTCCAGTCCAGCTCTCTGCTGTGGCCCGGGAGTGCAGTGGAGGACGGCCCAAGTGCTTGGGCCCTGCACCCGCATGGGAGACCAAGAGGAAGCACCTGGCTCCTGGCTTCAGATCGGTGTAGTTCCGGCTGTAGCAGCCATTTGGGGGGTGAACCAATGGAAGGAAGACCTTTCTCTCTGTCTCTCTCTCTCACTGTCTAACTCATCTGTCAAATAAATAAAAAAAAAAGATGTTTTGGGATTTTAATTTTTTATTTATTTGGAGACAGAGACACAGAGAGGGAGACCTACAGACACTGGCCTGGCCCTTTCTCCCTTCTTCCCTGGACCCGCCTGCTGCCCCTGCGCCTTCGGGCCCTGCCCGAGCTTTCTGGCTGACTCCCGGTGCTCGGCATGAATCCAGATCTCGCACTCTTTTAGATAGGCTCCTCACTCTCTTATGCATTTCTCTCACTGAACAACAAGCTGAAAACTTAAAACAAAACAAAACAAAAAAGACAACTCCCATCTGCTGGTTCACTTCCCAAATGCCCTTAACGATGATAAGTTTACAAAACAGAACGTGAAGTACGATTCAAAAACCGTGCAATGTATGACCCCTGTTTTCTAAGAAAGTAATACTTTGAGAAAAGAGTGGGAAAGAAACAGAATCAATGCTCATATTTGTGTGGTGGGACTGTCAGCTTGTCTCCGAACCGGCTTTCACGTGCTACCCAGGAGTCTGGGAGCTCCGGCAGCTCTGGGACCCGTTAGTTACCACTTCGTGGTCAGTGCCTCTGTCCCTGGATCCTCGACGGGCACTGACATGGGGACACCGCTGTGCAGGTCCCCAAGGGCAGGGACTGGGGCGGCACAGTCCTCCGTGCCCTGAGCGCACCTGGGCACACAACCAGCAGCCCCAGCTGGATTCTGGGCACATTCACGGCAGGGGGCTTCTGGGAGCATGCCCTAGAGGCCTGCAGCCAGGGCCTCCGCTCTCCTTCCTTCTACCTTCTCACTCTCCACGCTGAGGGCGGGGCTGAAGGGGACAGGAGAGGAGGCAGGGGGCACACCAGGCCCCAGGCCCTGCGTGGTGCTGGTGCAGGACAGGAGCTCCCCCCCCCTCGGAGGCACTGGGTTTGTACAGACATCGGACATCGTCATATTCTGCCTGTTGAGTGCTTGCAGGCTGTCCCCGTTTCTGGTATGCTGGGTCTGTGCCCTCCTGTGAGGGAGTCTGTGACCACGCGTGGGGGGGGGGGGCAGGAAACACATTTGGTCCATCTTTGTGATCCTCTGGGGCCGAGCAGACAATGGCCTGTCACGCGTTCTCAGTAAATCCTAGATGAACTGAATTAGAATGTGGGGAACCTCTTTCACACTGACGTCAAGGCCTGAGGGTCACTTATCTGTGTCATGTCAGCCTTCATTAGGTGTCGCGGCTTTGGAGGTGCCGATTTAATTTACAGCAGAACCAAACCCACGTGGCCGTGAACAGCGGTGCCTGGAGACCCACGGTGCCCAGGCAGGTGCCCATCACGGACACCGTGTGATGCGACTCGGGCTGGGGGGGCTGCGGCCAGCCTGTGACACGGGCAGCGGGACCCTGGGCAGCACCTCTCTGCCAAGCTCCCCCGCAGCAGCTTCTTCCTCTGACCCGCCTTCATCCAGGCCCACTCGCCAGGTTCTGGACCAGCCAAGGTGTTCCCCAGCCTCGCACGCTCCCCGACGCCCCGAGGCCCAGCCCGGCCACGCTGTACCTTCAGAGGAAACTGCTGGGTGAGCTCGGGCACATAGGCAGCCCCCGCCTGCTTCCTGTGCAGGGCCACGACCACAAAGTACTCGAAGAGCTGCCTCTCCTGGTACTCGACCAGCTCCCGGTCAAGCGCCAGGTACCGAGGGGCCTGCTTCAGCCGGGACTTCACGTGGACCAGGCGGCGGCTGTGGGCTGCAGAGAGGGAGAGAGAGGGAGAGACCCGGGGCCCGGCGTGACTCACCCGCCACGATGCTGTGCAGAGCTGCCACGGGCTCTGTCATTTCCAGCTGATCTCCAAAGTGGTTGCCCATCGAACAAGTTAGCAGCAGGCTCTTTGGGGCCCTGGCTAAGCTTCCGGGAGAAGCCCCTACCACAGGCCAGCAGCCCGTGGCGGGGAGGACCTGCCCTGCCCTGCCCTGGCCCTGCTGTCTGGCTCAGGAAGCCCCTGTCGCCATCTGTCTCTGGGTCGGGGACACTGACCCTCCCTTCAGTCCTTCCCTTGTCTTTCAGTTTGTGTGATGTGACAAAATCCAGACGGTCGAGCCTCTGGGGCTGGGGACTTAGTAAACATCCCGTGTGACTCAACTGGCAGAGGCCCGGCTCTCCCAGGGGCTCCCAGCAACCCCCTCGCCCGCCACCAGTGCGTCATGGAGGCGGCCGGGCAGCAGCTGGGGCCCGGAGCCGACAGGTGCCCTTCGCCTCACCCGGCCGCCCTGGGCTGGCTCTCTCTGGCTTCTCCCACGAGTCGGGGAAATGTGGAGAACTCACTAGAGCCTGGATCTAGATCAGAGAATTTTAGGCGCACGCGGGTCACTGTTGTCACAGAGGTCACGGATGGAAGAGGAACTGGAGGCCCTGAGACCGTGCAGCGACCGGAACAGGAGGGCCCAGGGGGCGAGGCCCCGGCAGCCCTGCACTGGCAGCTGCATCCTGTCGGCCTGAGAGCAGAGACAGCACTCACACGAGGGGACAGCGGCGGCCGCGGGGTCTCTGGCCGACCGGCGCTGCTCTGGCCTGGGCCGCCCTGGGCACCCTGGGTCCTCTGTCCCCTCAGCGAGCTGGGCAGGACTGCGCCTGGGCGCCCACTGCGTGCACCCCCCTCCCCGCCCCCTCACCTTTCAGCTTCTCCTCGGTGTCACTGTCGGACTCACTGTTCTCGTCTGTCACTAGACCAAAGGAGCAAGGGAGAGATTGCAGAGTGAGTTAGACAGCAGGCAGCGTTTTCCACACACGCAAAACCTCCAGTTCCAGAAGGTGTGTGCTTTATTTTGGGTCCACATGAATGGAAGGGGACACACTGCGTTTGTCTGTTTCCAAGTTAACTGGGCTCTGGTGAAGACGGTGCCTATATCAAGGAACACAGTGAGAGATCCGGGCGCCTTGCGTGGCTGCTAAGCCGGGGTCAGGCGACGGGGCGAGGCACGGGAGGGGGTCGTGCTGCCCCGCTGCGCGCAGGCTCTGTGGACTGCCCAGGGTCCTGCTTGCTCTGCTCCGGAGGAGCCACTGGGAAGCCGCAAGCAGGCGCTGTCAGACCCGTGGGAGGGCTGCGCGCCGAGCAGGGACGGCCGGGGCGCTACCTTTTCCTGAGTTGCTCTCTGCGGACTGGGACAGCCTCTTCACGCGTTTCTTCCCTCTCCGGGCCTCGTAGATGGCGTTGATTCGCAACACCAGCTGCCAGACAGCAGAAGGAGTCGGGTTAGCAGCGCCCCCGCCCCGCCCCCGCCGGGCGGGCGAGCGCCGACTGTCAGGGCTGAGGCCCGTGGGGCTCCGACACTTTGATGTCACTGTGGCTTGGGAAGCAGCTTTTGCTCCCAGAACAAAACAAGAAAAGGAAGAGACAGATAAAAAAAAAAGTTCCCAGGCAGGCCTCTTTCATGGGAAGCGTTCCAAAGACCAGCAGCCTGGCTCCGTCTGCGCCAGCCCAGCACAGGGCCCTGTCCACAGGGGAGCGCTCGTCCCAGAGCCCTCCACGGAGTCGACACAGGCGTGCTGAGCAAGTGCGCAGGGGTACTCGGGCGGGCATCACAGAGGCCCGGGGAGCTGCACACACACACACACACACACACGCACACACACACACACGCACACACGCACACACACGCACCCCGCGCACACACACACGCACACACACGCACACACACACGCACGCACGCACACGCACGCACACACACGCACACACGCACACACACACACACGCACACACACGCACCCCGCGCCTCTGTGGCACCTGTGAAAGCAGCCCTCCCTCCCCCGCAGGCCTCTCCCTGCTGCCGGCCAAGGCTGGTGCTTCCCCCGTGCCTGTCTGCCTGCCTCTCTGCCCAGGAGCTGCCTGCTGCCCATGTCTGCGTGTCCCCATGTTTGCTGGGCCCCAGGGCTTGCTGTCCGGGGCTACATGCTCAGGGCACACTGCGAGGAACCCACACGCGGAGGAACTCTACAGGCTAACGAAAGTAAGCCTGCTGCTCCCTAAGCCTCTTGTCCGTGCGTTCACACAGTTCTTATCTACACGAACAGGAATACAGGCTGGCAACCACCTCCCACGCCCTGTGACCGTCTCAGTTCTGCCTTCCGGTATACTTTCAATCCCCGGGTCCCCTCTGCCGCCGGCTGGCTGGTGTCTGTGGGTCACCCGCCGGGCCTTAAAGTCCTCATGGAAGAACGACGGGGTGGGAGCGGCTCCAAGGTCTCCTCCGGCTCGGGCTTCCCCAGCCTCTGTGACAAATGTCAAGCTGTCCTTGGGCCTGCAGGGTGCTCTTGCAGCCTCGCCGGCCACCAGGTGAGCCACTCCACAGCACCTCCGCTCATGGGCACGATCTGTGGGGGTTTCAGCAGCCCCCAGGGTCACCTCCCGCCAGCTGTCACAGCACAGCCTGCCTCCCTGCAGGGGCAGCGGCCTCCCTGGTCAGCCCTGGTGGAGGGAAAGGCGGAAGCCACCCACGCACACCAGCGATTTTAAAGGGGTGCTGCCTGCACCCCAACTTGTTGGGCTTTGAATTCCCAGGACAGGAGAGGAAGCGGGGCGATAGGCACCCAAGGAGGTGCGCTGGGCTGGCCGTGGCCGGTGCCCTCAGTGAGCTGGAATGCCTGGCCAGCTACCCCCACAGGCAGGGGCACCTGCCCGCCCAGGAGGAGGGAGCAGTGTTGTTCAGGCTGCCCAGTGGCAGCTCCTGCCGGCTGAGTGCACCCTCCAGACACACGCTCAGGCCCCGATGGCCACCAGATCTCTGTGACATCTCCGGCCACGTGCTGCTCTTGCTTCATGGCCTGGCTCCACTCTCACACAGGGTCCCTATCTGAGTCACAAGCCGCCCAGGAGACAGGTGCTTGTATCCGCTCCCCGGGTGTCTCCCCGAGTGCTCGCTTCCCGGACCAGCCCCTTCACTCCCCTCTGCGCGTGTCCTAACCTGGGGACATTAACAGGACCCCCATCTCCCACGGAGGCAGACGCAGGCTGAGTGAATCGCTAGCATTAGTCACCACAGCCAGGAGGCAGAAACAGCCCTGACATCCGCAGCCAGATAAACGGATCGGCGGGACGCGACGCGGCATTACACGAGACAGGATTCAGCCTTGTAAGGGACTCGAGTCTGACACACGCTCCAGCACGGAGGAACTGGGAATCCTGACTGCGGCCAGCCAGAGACAAAGGACAAGGCCACGCGACTCCACTCACGCGAGCGGCCTGGCCTAACCAACTCGGGAGAGACAGAAGGTAGAACTGGTCACCAGCGTCAGGGGAGAAGGAAATGGGGTCTTTAATGGGTACAAGTTTCTGTCTGGGGAGATGAGAAAGCTCTAGTCGAGCCGTGCGGGCTGCAGCAGAGGGCGAATCCGCCAACGCTGCCGAGCGGTGCGTTCAAAGATGACTCACGATAATTCCATGTGAGGGACGTTTTACTGAAATTTAAAGCTATGAGTGAGTTGAGGGGTCAGATTTTTTAGGAAGGGACAAGGACAATGTTAAACCCATTCTGAATCTCTACCCAAAGTATACAAACACCAAGGAAGACGTCAGTTGCAGGGCCGGCGCTGTGGTGTAGCAGGTTAAGCCGCCCCCTCTAACACCGGGTGGGTGTTGGTTCGAGTCCCGGCTACTCTGCTCTGCTTCCGACCCAGCTCCCTGCTAATGCTCTGGGAAAGCAGCAGAAGATGGCCCAAGTACTCGGGCCCTGCACCATGTGGGAGGCCCAGAAGAAGCTCCTGGCTCCTGGCTTCAGCCCAGCTCAGCACTGGCCATTGTGGCCATTCCGGGGGTGGACCATCGGAGGGAGGTCTCTGTCTGCCTCTCCCTCTCGCTCTACAACTCTGCCTTTGGTCTCCCATGCAGGGGCCTGAGTACTTGAGCATCTTCGGCTGCCCTCCCAGGGAGCTGGACTGGAAGCGGAGCAGCGGACTCGAATCAGCCTCTGTATGAGAGGTTGGCATCGCAGGCAGCGGCTTCACAAACCACCGTGTCACCGCACTGCCCCAGATAACTACATCCTAAAAAAAGATGAATGGTGGGGGGTGGGCATTTGGTCTGGTGGTTAAGATGCCTGTGTTCCGTACTGGAAGGCTCCTGTTGGCTCTGGCTCCTGACTCCAGCATCCAGCATCCAGCAGTGCAGGTCCTGGGGGAGGGGGGAACAGCTGGGTCCCTGCCACCCCTGTGGGAGACCTGGACTGAGTTCCAGGCTCATGGCTTTGGCCCTGGCTGAACTCCAGGCATCTGAGGGGTGACCAGACAGACGGGATCTCTCTCCATTTCTCTCTCTGCCTTTCAAATAATCAGTACAAAACTGAAAGTGAGAGAGAAGAGGAGAGAGAAACGGGATGTGCAGTGGCCCTCAGGGACTGATACCCCAACAGGGAGGACAAGATGCAGGCAGAGACGAGCCCAGGGGAGGACGAGATGCAGGCACAGGTGAGCCCAGGGGAGGACAGGATGCAGGCACAGGTGAGCCCAGGGGGAGGACAGGATGCAGGCACAGGTGAGCCCAGGGGAGGACAGGATGCAGGCACAGAGGAGAGCCCAGGGGAGGACAAGATGCAGGCACAGAGGTGAGCCCAGGGGGAGGACAGGATGCAGGCAGGGACGAGCCCAGGGGAGGACAGGATGCAGGCAGGGACGAGCCCAGGGGGAGGACAGGATGCAGGCAGAGGTGAGCCCAGGGGAGGACAGGATGCAGGCAGAGGTGAGCCCAGGGGAGGACAAGATGCAGGCACAGAGGTGAGCCCAGGGGGAGGACAAGATGCAGGCAGGGACGAGCCCAGGGGAGGACAGGATGCAAGCACAGAGGTGAGCCCAGGGGAGGACAGGATGCAGGCACAGGTGAGCCCAGGGGAGGACAGGATGCAGGCACAGGTGAGCCCAGGGGAGGACAGGATGCAGGCACAGGTGAGCCCAGGGGAGGATGAGATGCAGGCAGAGAGGTGAGCCCAGGGGAGGACAGGATGCAGGCACAGGTGAGCCCAGGGGAGTACAGGATGCAGGCAGGGACGAGCCCAGGGGAGGACAGGATGCAAGCACAGAGGTGAGCCCAGGGGAGGACAGGATGCAGGCACAGGTGAGCCCAGGGGAGGACAGGATGCAGGCAGGGACGAGCCCAGGGGAGGACAGGATGCAAGCACAGAGGTGAGCCCAGGGGAGGACAGGATGCAGGCACAGGTGAGCCCAGGGGAGGACAGGATGCAGGCAGGGACGAGCCCAGGGGAGGACAGGATGCAAGCACAGAGGTGAGCCCAGGGGAGGACAGGATGCAAGCACAGAGGTGAGCCCAGGGGAGGACAGGATGCAGGCACAGGTGAGCCCAGGGGAGGACAGGATGCAGGCAGGGACGAGCCCAGGGGGAGGACGAGATGCAGGCACAGGTGAGCCCAGGGGAGGACAGGATGCAGGCAGGGACGAGCCCAGGGGAGGACAAGATGCAGGCAGGGACGAGCCCAGGGGAGGACAGGATGCAAGCACAGAGGTGAGCCCAGGGGAGGACAGGATGCAGGCACAGGTGAGCCCAGGGGAGGACAGGATGCAGGCACAGGTGAGCCCAGGGGAGGACAGGATGCAGGCACAGGTGAGCCCAGGGGAGGATGAGATGCAGGCAGAGAGGTGAGCCCAGGGGAGGACAGGATGCAGGCACAGGTGAGCCCAGGGGAGTACAGGATGCAGGCAGGGACGAGCCCAGGGGAGGACAGGATGCAAGCACAGAGGTGAGCCCAGGGGGAGGACAGGATGCAAGCACAGAGGTGAGCCCAGGGGAGGACAGGATGCAGGCACAGGTGAGCCCAGGGGAGGACAGGATGCAGGCACAGGTGAGCCCAGGGGAGGACAGGATGCAGGCACAGGTGAGCCCAGGGGAGGATGAGATGCAGGCAGAGAGGTGAGCCCAGGGGAGGACAGGATGCAGGCACAGGTGAGCCCAGGGGAGGACAGGATGCAGGCAGGGACGAGCCCAGGGGAGGACAGGATGCAAGCACAGAGGTGAGCCCAGGGGAGGACAGGATGCAGGCAGGGACGAGCCCAGGGGAGGACAAGATGCAGGCAGGGACGAGCCCAGGGGAGGACAGGATGCAGGCACAGGTGAGCCCAGGGGAGGACAGGATGCAGGCACAGGTGAGCCCAGGGGAGGATGAGATGCAGGCAGAGAGGTGAGCCCAGGGGAGGACAGGATGCAGGCACAGGTGAGCCCAGGGGAGGACAGGATGCAAGCACAGAGGGGAGCCCAGGGGGAGGACAAGATGCAGGCAGAGGTGAGCCCAGGGGAGGACAAGATGCAGGCACAGGTGAGCCCAGGGGGAGGACAGGATGCAGGCACAGGTGAGCCCAGGGGAGGACAAGATGCAGGCACAGAGGTGAGCCCAGGGGGAGGACAAGATGCAGGCAGAGACGAGCCCAGGGGAGGACAAGATGCAAGCACAGAGGTGAGCCCAGGGGAGGACAGGATGCAGGCACAGGTGAGCCCAGGGGGAGGACGAGATGCAGGCACAGGTGAGCCCAGGGGGAGGACAGGATGCAGGCACAGAGGTGAGCCCGGGGGAGGACAGGATGCAGGCAGAGGTGAGCCCAGGGGAGGACAAGATGCAGGCAGAGAGGTGAGCCCAGGGGGAGGACAGGAGGCAGGCAGAGGTGAGCCCAGGGGCCGCTCATGAATGCCACAGAGGGTGCACACAGCTGCCAGACAGCCCTCGCCTCACTCTGAGTCAGCTTAAGGAATGAGCAGAAATCGTTCACGCTTTGGTCTGTAATCTCTCCCAAGGGAGTGAAACTTTAAATATACTCTCACATAACGGTACTTCACAGGAGATACAAGTTATTGTTTTAGAAGTGTGCTGTACTGAAAAGAATACGGGCCCTGTTAGAAACGTTTTCCCCTAAGTCTGAAATGATGTCATATGAAAGATGGTCGTTGCAGACGGACAGTCGTCCAGCAGGGGAGGAGCCACGGTTTGCACGGGACCCCTGCTCACGTGTGCAGGGGAGGGCGGCACGGGGTCTGACCACAGAAGCAGCCAGTGTCTCATGCACCCTGCCGTGCAGCTCCTGGATCCGTCAGCTGCCCGGCAGGGAGAGGCTGGCAGGGAGAGGCTGGCACACAGAGGGGCCGCCTCCTCTCCCTGGCCACCTCCCCTGGGACATTCACTCCTGCAGGGGCTGAAGCCGGGGGACGGGAGGACGGCAGCTGCCAGGAGGGCCCCTCACGGCAGAGCAGGTCAAAGAAAGCCAACCAACTGCACCGTCTGATTCGCCCTGAGCGGGCGACCGAGTCCTTCTGGCTAGAGACAGACACGCAGAAGCAAGGGTGCGGGGCGGCAAACGGTTCAAGGATCCAACACACGGGAAGTCCCGAATGTGCCTGGCAAACAGCCTTGACCTGAGGGACGGGATGCAGGGCGCTCTGAGAACGCACTATTTAAGAGCGAGCGGACACCCGGCTGATGTGACGTAGCCTGAGACTCCTGACAAACCGTTCTAAGTCATTTGAGTGTCTGTGAAGATTAGCTCCTTTGTCTTTGGTAAAATAAGTTGTTCTATTTTCTTTTCTTTTTAAGGCTTATTTATTTATTTGAAATGCACATTACAGAGAGACAGAGAAGGGGAGAGAGATATCTTCTATTCACTGGTTCATTTCCCAAATAGCAGAAGCCAGGAGCCAGGAGCTTCTTCCGGGTCTACCACATATGGGTGCAGGAGCCCAAGCACTTGGGCCATCTTCTGCTGCTTTCCCAGGTTATCAGCAGGGAGCTGGATTGGAAGTGGAGCAGCCAGGACTTGAACCGGAGCCCATGTAGGATGCTGGGGCTGTGGGGTGGCTTAACCTGCTGCACCACGGTGCTGGCCCCCTATCTCCCTCAACCTTTATGATGAACAGTTGTAAGATTTTTGTTGTTGGGGTTGGCACTGTGGTGTAGCAAGTAAAGCAGCCACCTGCAATGCTGGCATCTCATATGCATACGGTTCGAGACCTGGCTGCTCCATTTCCAATCCAGCTCCCTGATAATGCCCCTGAAAAAGTAGTGGAGGATGGTCCAAGTGCTTGGGCCCCTGCGTCCATGTGGGAGGCCCAAGAAGCTCTAGATTCCTGGCTTCAGCCTGGCCCAGTCCTGGCTGCTGTGGCCATCTGGGGAGTGAACTAGCAGATAGAAGACCTCTCTGTTCTCCTTCTCTCTTTATAATTCTGCCTTTCAAATAAATAGTTAAAAACATAGATAAACTAAGAAGAAAGAAACTGCTACCTTGTACACTAAACACACAAACAGGGACAGTAACAGAGCCCCTTTCTCCCCTCTACTTCCACATACAAGACACACCTTTCTTTCTCTCAATCTCAAAAAAACTTGCCAAAACTATTAAAACAGGACATGGGGGACCAATGGGTGAAAGCGCGGGGGTGTAAGATAGAGGTTGAATGCTTCTCAGAAGATCGCACACTCAGGACTACCTGAGCGGCGTGTCACTGTGATCACACACTCAGGACTACCTGAGCGGCGGTGTCACTGTGATCACACACTCAGGACTACCTGAGCGGCGTGTCACTGTGATCGCACACTCAGGACTACCTGAGCGGCGTGTCACTGTGATCACACACTCAGGACTACCTGAGCGGTGTGTCACTGTGATCGCACACTCAGGAGTACCTGAGCGGTGTGTCACTGTGATCGCACACTCAGGACTACCTGAGCGGCTGTGTCACTGTGATCGCACACTCAGGACTACCTGAGCGGCGTGTCACTGTGATCGCACACTCAGGAGTACCTGAGCGGCTGTGTCACTGTGATCGCACACTCAGGAGTACCTGAGCGGCTGTGTCACTGTGATCGCACACTCAGGACTACCTGAACGGCTGTGTCACTGTGATCGCACACTCAGGACTACCTGAGCGGCTGTGTCACTGTGATCACACACTCAGGACTACCTGAGCGGCTGTGTCACTGTGATCACACACTCAGGACTACCTGAGCGGTGTGTCACTGTGATCGCACACTCAGGATTACCCGAGCGGCTGTGTCACTGTGATCGCACACTCAGGAGTACCTGAGCGGCTGTGTCACTGTGATCGCACACTCAGGATTACCTGAGCGGCTGTGTCACTGTGATCGCACACTCAGGATTACCTGAGCGGTGTGTCACTGTGATCGCACACTCAGGACTACCTGAGCGGTGTGTCACTGTGATCGCACACTCAGGACTACCTGAGCGGCGTGTCACTGTGATCGCACACTCAGGACTACCTGAGCGGCGTGTCACTGTGATCGCACACTCAGGACTACCTGAGCGGCGTGTCACTGTGATCGCACACTCAGGACTACCTGAGCGGCTGTGTCACTGTGATCGCACACTCAGGATTACCTGAGCGGCTGTGTCACCGTGATCGCACACTCAGGACTACCTGAGCGGCTGTGTCACCGTGATCACACACTCAGGAGTACCTGAGCGGCTGTGTCACTGTGATCGCACACTCAGGAGTACCTGAGCGGTGTGTCACTGTGATCGCACACTCAGGACTACCTGAGCGGCTGTGTCACTGTGATCACACACTCAGGACTACCTGAGCGGCTGTGTCACTGTGATCACACACTCAGGACTACCTGAGCGGTGTGTCACTGTGATCGCACACTCAGGACTACCTGAGCGGCTGTGTCACTGTGATCACACACTCAGGAGTACCTGAGCGGCTGTGTCACTGTGATCGCACACTCAGGAGTACCTGAGCGGCTGTGTCACTGTGATCGCACACTCAGGACTACCTGAGCGGTGTGTCACTGTGATCACACACTCAGGACTACCTGAGCGGTGTGTCACTGTGATCGCACACTCAGGACTACCTGAGCGGTGTGTCACTGTGATCGCACACTCAGGACTACCTGAGCGGCGTGTCACTGTGATCGCACACTCAGGAGTACCTGAGCGGCTGTGTCACTGTGATCGCACACTCAGGACTACCTGAGCGGCGTGTCACTGTGATCACACACTCAGGAGTACCTGAGCGGCTGTGTCACTGTGATCACACACTCAGGAGTACCTGAGCGGCTGTGTCACTGTGATCGCACACTCAGGATTACCTGAGCGGCTGTGTCACTGTGATCGCACACTCAGGAGTACCTGAGCGGCTGTGTCATGTGTGGTTCCTTCTCAGTTTTCTAAGACCAAAGTGAGGCTGTGTAGTTATTAAGTCACTGCTCGCTATTCTGCAACTGGAGGGTGTAACACTTTTTCCGATGCATTTACTTGAAAGAGAGAGAAAGAGGGAGATCTGCCGATTCACTCCCCCACGTGTGCAATAATGGGGATGAGTCAGCTTGCAGCCAGAACACAGTCCAGGTCTCCCAGGTGAGCGGCAGGAGCCGAGTGCCAGAGCCATCAGCCACTGTAACCCAGGTGTGCACCGGCAGGAAAGCTGGAACCAGACGTGGAGCTGGGATGCTAACCCAAGAACACTCAGAGGGGAGGGCGGGAGTTCAGGACGCCCATACCGTACCCCTCCTGTGGGGAGCAGCCCGGACTGGACTGAGTTACTGGAATTAAGACTTATTCTATGCATCTGCTCTCCCACAATATGGCGCTGGGAGAGAAGAAAACAGCTTCTGCACAGCTGCCTCCAGTTCAACCAATAAACTGTAGGACTTGCTCCTGATTGGAGGAGAGCAGCGTACTCGGCGTGTGGGCAGCCGAGTTGGGAGTGGCAGAGGAGGACTATAAAGGAGGAGAGAGACGGCATGCACCAGGAACATCTAAGGGGAACATCTAAGGGGAACACCTGTGCAGCCCCCGAGAAGAGCCGGCCGGCGGTGTGCCGCTCCCCTGCGGAAGTGGGGAATGTGGCTAGGGGGAACTGCCCTTCCACGGAGGTGGAAGGGATAGTAGCCAACCCGGGAAGAACCAGCAGCAAACCCGGGGAGGGCCGAGCAGATGAAAGAACAACGCAGGGTCCTGTGTCGTTCCTCCACGAAGAGGGGGAGCGACACCCTCCCCCAGAGTAGCCCTAATGATGATGCAGCAGACACAGCGGAAGGAAGCAAAGTGGCCGTGCGCCAAGGGTGCCGCCCGCCAGCACACAGCACATCACCAACACGGGGCCCGCACTGCGTCCTGGGCAGGGCTGGGCAGAAACACCACGATGGGGCGTGGTGCTCTGACCACGTCTGCACGTCATCGACCCCATCTGACGCTAGCTACGGAGCAGCCTGCCCCGAACTCCCGCACACAACGTTCTGCGGGCTTCGTGACCCCCACAGCCCTTCCGCAGACCCTGAAATTCAGATCCCTGCTCTGGGAGTTCCTGCGGGAGGTGGTGCTGACGGAGTCCGAAGACGCCGCCCCGCTCCGCGCTCTGGCTCGCTGGTTACTCTGAACTACGGGTACCGGGAAAGCAGCAGACACAAGGACGACGCGCTGATTGCCCCTTCTCTTCCCGAAAGCGGGCAGGGCAATTCTTATGGAAAAGATGCCCGTGCGGGAGGACAGAACCGTTCTTATCACCAGAGACGGGAGCAACGCCCAGGGGAGACCGTGCAGCTCGGCTTTGCTGCACCAGCTCAGCCTGCCTGGCTTCTCTCCCACACGGCCGCGCTCTGCTCAGCCCTGGACGGAAGCACTCGGCCTGCAGGTCTTTTCTCGACCCCTAGCCCTACCCCTCCTTCCCCTTCAGCACGCCCTCTGACGCCAGGGTGCTGCACTTCCGGTGACTGACCAGGACGAGGGTCTTCCTCCTTCTTGTGAGGGCTCCCACACACACGTGAATCAAGTTTGTATGCATCTCTCCTCTGGTAAGCTGTCTCAAGCCAATTTAATGCTCGGGCCCAGCAGGAGACCCGAAGAGGCAGAGGGAAAATTCTGCCTCCCTTACGGTACACAACTGTCAAAGAGGGACCTGCACTGTGGGGCTGAAACTGAGCAAAAGGAAATGCGAGCGACAGACACACGAGGCCCTGCACCCCAGCCAGAAGAAGCACTTTGGACAGGTGCAGGCCGGAGTGCACACCGGTCCCGGTCCCAGTCCCCGCCCCTGCGGGCGTGGGCAAGGTCCCAGGTGAGATGATGGTGGATGGAGTTCCAGCTTTTTGAGACTACGAAGCAGGAGGCCGCGGCCTTCCGAGGACGGCCCTGGAAAGTGTTGTCTGAGATCGGAGGGTGGCTAAGGCCAAGAGCTAAGAGGACAGCTACGGGGCCACAGTAATTCTCAGGGCACGGACCCAGATGCCCCTGCCCGGGATGACACAGACGGCAGATGGCTCCGCGTCTCCGCCCGGCCTCTGCAGCTCACGGGGAGTGCGTGTCGGAACGCAGTTTGCTGTGGGCGTACCTTGGGGACCTTCCTCTTCTTGCGGCCGTTCTGTGGGTCTCCAGGGTTAAAGAGAGTGTCGTCGGGGCTGCTGGGCGTGGAGGGGGGGCTCACTCTGGACGGGGACCCAGTTCCATCCCGACTCAGCTTCCTGGTGTCCAGGAGTCTGAAGTTCCTCCTCTCGGAATTTTGCCGGAGAAAAGCAGGTTTGGACAACGACTGCTGTTTGGGGAGAGAGGAATGAAGAGAGAGGAATGAAGAGTAAATCGATCCGCAGGGGACTAGCCAGGATGGGAGGGGAGCTCCTCACCATCCCGGGGTGTGTGCAGGAGCTCAGTAACATGTATCCAGTTATGGGAAGTATGTGTGCTAAAGAATATAAATCGAATCCAGTCTCTCTGTATAGACAAACGGGACATGGCCTGGCTCAATCCTCTGACCTCACAGACGAGGCTTTCTGGTCACCTGCGCACCTGTCCCTGAAACCGGCCCCAGAGCACCTCCTACACCAGGAAGTTCATGTCTTATCCCTGAAACAAACCTCTTCAGAGTCAAAGGCAAATAAAAACTTTAAAAAAAGTTTACAGGTGCCGGCGTTGTGACACGGTGGGTTAAGCCCTCACTTGTGGTGCCGGCATCCCATAGGGGCACCAGTTTGCGTCCAAGCTGCTCCACTCCTGACCCAGCTCCCTGCTGGTGTACTGGGAAAAGCAGCGGAAGATGACCCAAGTGCTTGGGCCCCTGCAGCCAATTGGGAGACCCAGATGGGGCTCCTGGCTTATGGCTTCTGCCTGGCCCAGTTCCGGTCACTGCGGCTATCTGGGGAGTGAACCGGCAGATGGAAGATCTCTCTGTCTCTCCCCACCTCTCTCTCTGTGACTCTTTCAAAATAAATCTTAAAAAATTTTACAACTCATAACATAAAAACAAACTTATTTTCCAAATACATACTACAAATTAATGAGAAAAAGACAAGTCAAAAGAGGGAACAGGCAAAAGAATAGTTTACAGAAGTGGACATGCGCTATTTAAATACATGCACATATGTAAATAAAAGCACGGCTTTGCGGCTTTGCTCGTAAGGAAAAAGACCGGGGCAGGCATCTGGCCCAGCAGCTCAGCCCCAGCGGGGACGCCCCGTCCCGGTCAGATGCTAGTGTTGAGTCCTGGCGCCACTCCTGGCTCCAGCTTCCTGCTAATGCAGATCCAGGAGGCGGCAGCAACGGCTCAAGCACCTGGGCTCCTGCCACCCACGTGGGAGACCTGGACTGAATTCTGGCTCCCAGCTTTCGCCCGGCCCAGTGCTGACCACTGTGGGCATTTGGGGAGTGAACAGTCGGGCTGGAGTTCTTTGTTTTCCTCTCTTTGTATCTCAAATAAATAATAAATAAAATTTTAGGAAGAGAAAAAAAACTCCACTGAAGAAACATTTGTCATTCACTTGAAGGTCAGAAAAGATGAAAAAACTGATGAACCGTGGCTGCTCTGGAGGGAGGAAATAGGTGGGGCAGTAAGATGACTTCTCATCATACACCTTTACTTACCTTACATTTCAGCCCTGTGAATGTATTAGCTATTCACTAAATAAGAAACACTAGCGAAATCAAAGAACCACTTTGGCTCCTTTTTTCCAACGACACACACAGACACACTCACGTACACAGTGGCGTAGTTTCAGTTTTAACAAATGAATTAAAAGAGTAAATTACAAGGCACCTGGCAGACTGCCCGAGAGCAGGCATTAATAGAAGTTATTTCGTTTCCATTTTTTTCACACTTAGAAGTGCTAACTGCATTCTTCCTTAGTACAGCGTCTTCTTTACCTATTTATCTTCTAGGATCCTGGAGTTTTTCTGATTGCTTCGCATGAGCTCTATGTGGAAGAGATGTTAGCTGTTTGTCAGTTTGCTGCCAGTGAGCTCTTCCTGTGGGGTTTGCTTGTATGCACTTATGTATGTATTACTGTATGTATTTTTTTTTTGACAGGCAGAGTGGACAGTGAGAGAGAGAGACAGAGAGAAAGGTCTCCTTTTGCCGTTGGTTCACCCTCCAATGGCCGCCACGGCCGGCGCGCTGCGGCCGGTGCACCGCGCTGATCCGAAGCCAGGAGCCAGGTGCTTCTCCTGGTCTCCCATGGGGTGCAGGGCCCAAGCACTTGGGCCATCCTCCACTGCACTCCCTGGCCACAGCAGAGAGCTGGCCTGGAAGAGGGGCAACCGGGACAGAATCCGGTGCCCTGACCAGGACTAGAACCCGGTGTGCCGGTACCGCAAGGCAGAGGATTAGCCCAGTGAGCCGCGGCGCCGGCCTGTATTTGTTATATGGAATCCTTCACACAACTTTAACAATATGAGAGCCTGTTCACCTTATCCTTTGTGATTCACTTCTTTGCCTACAGAATATCCTCTTTCATTTGTTTACTAACTTGAAAGGCAGAGCAATGGAAGGAGGAGACACAGAGGGGAGATCATCTGTTGCTGGTCCGCTCCCCACATGGCTGCAACAGCCGGGCCCGGGACAGGCTGAGACCAGAACAAGGAACTCATGCTGGTCTCTAAATGGGTGGCAAGGGTCCATTTGGACCATTATTCACTGGCCTCCCAGGCACATCGGCAGGAAGCTGGATCAGAAGTGGAGCAGCCAGGACTTGGACTGGTTCTCTGACATGGGGTGTGGTGTTGCAAGTGGAGGCTTACCCTGCCGCACCACAACGCCGGCCCCTCTGCCCCCTCTCAGAGGCTAACAGATAGCTAGTCCCACCTTCCCTCTTCATCGGGACGCTCCTGGTTAATTGTGAGCATGCTTTACTCATTAACCCATCACTAGGCTGACACACGGCACGTTGGTCCAGATCCTTCTCTTCTGCACACTGCCCCTACTTGGCTTCGTGAACGAGACTTGCTTTCTCTAACTCACAAGGCCAACTTCACCGTATCTTAAACCGTCAGAGTAGACCCGGGGAATTCCACCGACTCCTTCATCCTTGCTCAGTTCCAAATAGTACGGAACAGAAACCCCTGAATGGCGTTTGTAAAGATTTCCAGGAGGCCAGCGCCGCGGCTCAATAGGCTAATCCTCTGCCTGTGGCTCTAGCACACCGGGTTCTAGTCCCGGTTGGGGCACTGGATTCTGTCCTGGTTGCCCCTCTTCCAGTCCAGCTCTCTGCTGTGGCCCGGGAGTGCAATGGAGGATGGTCCAAGTGCTTGGGCCCTGCACCTCATGGGAGACCAGGAGAAGCACCTGGCTCCTGGCTTTGGATCAGCGCGGTGCGCCGGCCACAGCGGCCATTGGGGGGTGAACCAATGGCAAAGGAAGACCTTTCTCTCTGTCTCTCTCTCTCACTGTCCACTCTGCCTGTCAAAAAAAAAAAAAAAGATTTCCAGGAATGAAGACTCGTTGGCCCCCTACGTGACCTGCTCCGGTGTTTCACTGTGGGTCTATCAGGAGTGACCGATCCTCCAGCAGCCTGGTCGTGATGGGTGCCTCAGCCACACCGGCAAACAAGGAGCAATGGTGGCAAGCCTTCTCGCGGCCGATGCCACCTGCACCACAGTCCAAGCAAGTGCTCGCCAGAACTTCCTATCACACTGTGGGCAAAAAGCAGGAATCTGTTTGTGTGAGAGATGCAGACTGGGGTGGTATTTCCCTTTCTCAAAGGAGATTCAACCAAGCAGGAGGAAGACAGAAGGAACCAACATAAGGCCCACAGCTCTCTGACGAATGTGAAGAGACCCGGTGGAGAAGGCGGACTGCTTCTCCCAGGGGACACGGGGCTGGGCTGCCGCCGAGCGTCCAGGGAGCTTCCGTGGCGGTGAAGACTTAGTGGGCTGTCGGGGGAGAGCAAGTCTGTAACTTGGTGGAGAGGAGGAGCGAAGAGCCTTCACAGCTTGGAGTGGGTGCGGTGAAACCAGGAACGAGACAGATGACGCAACCACGAAGACCTCGGACTGTCCATCAGCATGGGTGCAACATTTAGCAGCTGACTTTCTTCTTTCTTTTCTTAAAGATTTATTTGAAAGGCAGAACAAGAAGGGGTGGGGGTGGAGGGAAGAGAGAGAGAGAGAGAAACCCCTGCACCTGTTGGTTCACACGCTAAATGGTTGCAATGGCTGGGGTAGGGCCAGATCAAAGCCAGGAGCCTGGAACTCCATCTGGTCTCCCATGTGGACAGCAGGGGCCCAAGTACTTGGGTCATCATTTGCTGCCTTCCAAGCACAGTGGCTGGAAACTGGATTAGAAGTGGAACAGCCGAGGAGCCGGCGCCACGGTGCAGTACGTTAATCCTCTGCCTGCGGCGCCGGCATCCCATATGGGTGCTAGTTCAAGTCCCGGCTGCTTCTCTTCCGATCCAGCTCTCTGCTGTGGCTTGGGAGGGCAGTGGAGGATGGCCCAGAAGCTTTGGCCCCTGCACCCTCATGGGAGACCAGGAGGAAGCACCTGGCTCCTGGCTTCAGATCAGTGCAGCTCCGGCTGTTGAAGCCGTTTGGGGAGTGAACCAGCAGAAGGAAGACCTTTCTCTGTCTTTCTCTTTCCCACTGTCTGTAACTCTACCTCTCAAATAAATATATTAAAAAAAATCTTTTTTATTTTTTATAGAGTTAGACAGTGAGAGAGAGAGACAGAAAGGTCTTCCTTCCATTGGTTCACTTCCCAAATGGCTGCCACAGCCGGAGCTACGCCGATTCAAAGCCAGGAGCCAGGAGCTTCCTCCTGGTCTCCCATGCAGGTGCAGGACCCAAGCACTTGGGCCATCCTCCACTGCCTTCCCGGGCCACAGCAGAGAGTTGGCCTGGAAGAGGAACAGCCGGGACTTGAACTAGCACCCATATGGGATGCCGGCGCCGCAGGCAGAGGATTAACCAAGTGAAGCACGGCGCCGGCTCCTAAATAAAATCTAAAAAAAAAAAAAAAAAGAAGTGGAAAAGCCGAAATTTAAGCTGGCACTAGGGTATGGGATGTAGGCATCCCAAGCAGTAGCACAAAACCTGCCCCTACACAATATTTAAAAATACATGGGGCTGGCCGGCTCCACGGCTCACTAGGCTAATCCTCTGCCTGCAGTGCCAGCACCCCGGGTTCTAGTCCCAGTATGGGCGCCGGATTCTGTCCTGGTTGCTCCTCTTCCAGTCCAGCTCTCTGCTGTGGCCCGGGAAGGCAGTGGAGGATGGCCCAAGTGCTTGGGCCCTGCACCCACATGGGAGACCAGGAGGAAGCGCCTGGCT